CTTTATTAATATTCATCAACTCAGTACGATTCTTTATTAATATTCATCAACTCAGTACGAATCTTCATTATTCCGAAAGAAAGCAACAATAAAAAGGCTTGCGATCTGAAAATTTCGCATAACAATCTGATACCTCAAAGCCGATTTTAGCATTCTGAAAATGTAGATCATAAAAAACTGAAGAAATATTTCTCCATTTGACAAAAATCTTTATTTTTTGAAATTCCAATGGGTTCCTGAATATGCAATTTTGCTTTTAAAGAAAAAAATGCAGCAACAATATAAATCAACGGACAACTATTTCCCTTCTATTCTAAGGTAAAAGTAATATATAATATCTCTACGTTGTAAACCTAAATTTTTGTTATTGAATACATTGAAACTCAAAAAGGATTTTATTTTCTAAGTTTGCTTCTGCATTTCTTTACCGAACCAAAAACTGTGAAGCGGTTAAAAAATTTAAAGATTTTATATCCCTGATATGAAGGCAGGTCAAGCCTGGGAATGCTATTTGCAATATCACATGGAAGAAAAATTTATTAAAAAAAATTCTTACCTCGGGCATTGGTAAATTTTTGTTAGTGCATGTTTGTTAGTGTTGTTCAATAATGATTCAATGCAGCACAAACGCAGTTACCAATTTTCTTTTTCTCCAGAAAGGAATTTTACAGAGGTGTAAAACCAACAACACACATTCGGGAATTTGAAAATGCTTTCTAAATGACACTTGTAATAATTAAACTGTATTTAATTTGCTCTCCAATATCAGGATAATTATAATACTTAAAATGAAAGTCTATATATTGTTTGAAGGATATGTTTGAATATTTTAAATCACTAAATTCTCTATACTGTGACAAGTAAATATAGGTAACTCTGATTACTTCACTTATTTTTCAGTATATAACCTATGTGCAAGTTTAAAAATTTATTTTAACCAAAAAAAAAATGAACAAAATTCTCTAGTTGTAGCATAAAACATTTCGTCTGAAAATTAAACAATAAACTGCATTTCATGGGAAAACTGCATACATCTACCTGTAGTGTGAAAGCGATTAGAATACTTCCCTCATTCTAACACCTAGAGCTTTGGAACTAGACCGAAAAGAAATACTGACCGTTTCTCTGCCTGCCAATAAAAGAACACTAATCACCTCGTCGTTAAGACTCAATCTGAGAAATTTTTTCTCCTTTCCCATAACCGCTGAGTGAAGAGCCCCCAGTGAAGGAACACAACTATTTTTCGAGCCCATGTGAAAAGGTTAAACCAAATAGCCAGGCTCCCTCTATTAATTTGCCACGGTTTCACAGGTTCATGATGTTTTCTACATAAAAACACTCTAAAAACAAATCCTCACCTCATTCATCTTCAAGGAGCATGTGGCCACTTTTTTATTTTGCTTTCCTCACAGTTTCACAGACTAGTAAATTAGCAACATGTGCCTAAAGCTGCAAAATTGTTGTCACTTATCAAACACTTCCATGTAAATAACACAACACAAATTGTACCAGTTGCACACTAAGATTTGTTTTTTCACTAAACATCTCGGCAGTCACTTAGCTGTACTACATATCCAGCAATACATTAAGTTTAATGCATTTTTAAAGTAATTAATGGAATCATTTTCACTTATGTACTCTTAATTATTTGTATTTATTTTCATATTCAAAAATAGCATTTCAGTGGCACAATTTAAGAAATAAATAATAAAATAAAAGTGATAAATCACATGCTACATTATTATTAATCTTTTTTTAGCTGTTATTTGCTAATCATCATCTGCATCCCTAGATCAGTTGAGAATACCACTCATTAAAGAAATTGACCTATTGGACTGAATCATTATTAACAGCCTCAATAAAAGTGTTTCACTGTTTAAGAATTCAACACATTCCACAGTAAAGGTACTTTTACGTTTACAAATTGAACTCCAACATTTAAACTTTCAATATATCATTCTTAATACAAAAATTGCACACACTCTTTTTTCACATTTTTCATATCCATTACTTTAATAATTAAACAATTTGTATGCATATTATTTTTACCTCCTACAAAACACTTTCTATCCTTTGTAAACTTTTTTTTTTTAACTTTAATTTAAACATGGATAAATTTATGAATTGGACCTTTTCATTTAAAATCTGCAAAATACAATGCAATCTTTACCAAATTGTCATGCTGCCTGAATACGCATCTTTACGCTAGAAACACATACCATTATATTTTACTACATGAAGCTTTGACTTCCATTTCATTTCACAGCAAGCTTATGGGAAAAGAGGAATGAAATCCTCAACAAAAATAATAAATTAATTAATTAAATTAAACAGCCAAAAAAAAACCTAAAGTTTTCAGATTATTTATATTACGTCCGAAGGGGCTTTTTTTTTAACATTTTGCATGTTGAGATCCTTTACAAAAATAATAAATTAATTAATTAAATTAAACAGCAAAAAAAAAAAAAAAAAAAAAAATCGAAAGTTTTCAGATTACTTATATTACGTCCGAAGGGGCTTTTTTTTTAATATTTTGCATGTTACCTTTACTTATTAAATATCATGTTCTTTGCACTTAAACCATAAAATTCAATTCTACAGCAATATCACAAAATAATTTTAAAATGAGCATAGGAGAATATCTTTAGAATTTTCGATACACAGTTTCACACGCTGGAGATAAACATGTGTTTTTTCGTACAGTGTTGCCATAACTCGCTTTGAAATTGTTAAGTTTATTAATCAAAAATTCTTTAAAGTTTTACAAAATATTAAATAAGTAATAAAACAAATTCGAAATTTGTGCTTCCAGATGTTCTCATATTCGGGTAGAGCATTATATTATTCTAAATTTGATGACACTAGATACCATTGTTATATCACAATGCGAGAGACATACATACATTTATGCAGATTCTTCATTATTTAATTTCTTTAAATATACTACAGGGTGATAATATTTGGTGGCAACAATTTGAAAAGTGATATGCCGTTTATAGCCATTGAAAATGCAAAAATGAAATTAACAGCTCTTCTGGGCTACTGCTCTTAGGGCTAAAAACTAAATATTTTAAAATATAAACACAATAAGGAACTTAAACATTAGCATTTTAACATAAGATACATCTAGTTTTTGCAGGAGACAAATACAATATATAACTTTTCATATACTATAAATGGCATTTTCACATTTTTCTAGCTGATAACTTGCCAGCTAGGTGCTATATTTTCTTTTTCTTAGATATCATTCTTTTTAATTTTACCTGAGGATTCACCATATCATGAAAAATAGAAACTAATGCACTTTTTTAGTTTTCAGATTTTATATTGCGTCCGAAGGAGCCCTTTTTTTTAACATTTTGCACGTTACCCTTATTTATTAATATCATGTTCTTCGCACTTAAATCATAAAATTCAATTTAACAGCAATATTGCATGAGTATACCTTTAGAAATTCCGATACACAGTTTCGCGTGCTGGAGATAAATCCCCCCCCCACGTACAATATTGCCATTGCTCGCTTTGAAATCCTTGAGTTTGTTAATGAAAAATTCGTTAAAGTTTTACAAAATATGAAATACAGTACAAAGTCTTTAATCTGGACTCATCGGGACTTCAGCGATTCCGGATTAATGGTTTTTCTGGATTACAGATCATCAATTTAAATCTAGTAAGATGGCACGCAGAAATTACGAAATTAAAAATAGGACACCGTAATTTGTGAAATAAAGAGCAATTATGATCTAAAGGGTATTAAAATTTACACAAAAAAAACTTAATATTTATTTGTTTACTTTTTTAACCGATCGTCATCTGGGTATATACATATATCTTATGAAAGCTTGTCTTTTTTTCATCAGAGGCTGATTTCTGTAAAGGTATAGAATACCATTATGAAGGTATTCTACATTAGCAATTTTTAAAAACTTTGATTGTCATTGTACACATGGATTATGCTTACAATATACAGTCAAAAGTCGTTAATTCGGACACCCATAATCCGGACCTCAAAGCTGAAAACTTCCTGCGCATGTGCCGCGTTGACACATGCGCATAGACGTTTACGCGTGCGCGTAAGACCTTTACGACTGTGCATATGCGTCTGCGCAAGTGCAGAATACGTTTTCGCGTGCGCGTTTAATGTATAACGAACGGTATAGGCTAAAATTATCTATTTCAGTTAATGTTGATGTTTGCATTGTTCCTTAATCTTCGAACTGGATCCGGCTTATTACAGTCAAAAGTCTTTAATCTAGACTCGTCGGGACTCCGGAAGCGATTCCGGATTATCGATTATCAGTTTAAATCTGGTAAGATGGAATGCAGAAATTATAAAATTAAAAATATGAAAGTGTAATTTATGAAATAAAGAGCAATTATGATCTAAAGGGTATCAAAATTTACAGAAAAAAAGCTTAATATTTATTTGTTCACTTTATTAAACATTTCTTTCAACACCCGCATGCGTAAAGCATACATTATGCATAGTCGAAATTAGAAAATTGCAACCAGAAAACTACTTGATGTGTATTCGTGATATTTATAATGACGAGGAATTTGATTTAAATCATATCAGAGTACATTGAGATAAAATACTACATTTAGTAAGGAATTATAAGACAAATAAAATAAAAGCATCTGCCCTGAAGATAAGGATAGTGCTGACAGATCAACTTCCAGTTCATTGCGCGCCGCCGCGATTCCAACTAACTCTGAAATATAATGCTCTAGTAAGATAAGAAATATTCTAAACCTGAAATAAAATTATTCTACATATGTCATACTAAAGTAAATATCAAATAACATACATCTTAATCTTTTTTCTGACAGAAAAATGCCAGCAAGAAGCAGTCATACTGGGCAACTTTTACACTACATTTCAAATTCTCAACATTTTAATCATTTCAGGATGTTCTTAAAAATAATATTAAGCATATAATTAAAAACATGAAAACTCAAAATACTTAAACTTACACAGATATAAAGAAATTGATATATACCTCTAAGTAGAGTGAGTTTTCTGAGCACACCTGAGGTAGAAAAAAATGATGACCGAGTTCGATGGTTTCCACCTGGAGTAACAGACAGTTTACTGCGTAAACTGAGTGGTAAAGTGCTGGATTTTGATGAAGTTGTGTCACATACAGCATCAGGTATATTACTAGAACTCAATGACATTTTTGTTGAAGCTGCACCTTTGGCACATGACTCTTCCTCTTCAGGAATAGTTTCAGTTGAGGTCAAAGACCGATACTGCGTCAGTGAGGCAGTTGAAGTTTGGCTGGCAGTTGAATCATCTAAACTGAGAAAGCTTTCTTCAGAAGATTTAAAAGAATAATAACCAGTATCACGAAATGCACTTTTATTGCTAATATTTTCTAAATCTGATATATTGCCAACAGATTTAGTACCAAACACTTTATTGTTTTTGCTTTTAGCTCTGTAATTAGCAACTAAGAGATCATTCTCACTTGATGCTTTTTCTTTGGGATTCATTACTTTAGGTAATGGGGCAATTATAGTTGATTCGTCATCTTTTAGTGATTCTTCAGCTTCACTAGAAACAATATTTGGATTAGAATTATCCATTTCTTCCACAGAAATAGTTGATGTGTTAGCTGAAGTATCCAGTACATTAACTATCTGGTAGTCTAATTTTTGCTCTAGATATCTTGAATCTATGTTATTACTTAAAATTTTATGAATAGCAGAGGAAAGGGGATATGTATTATGAGAAATTATTTTGACTGAAGTTATATTATAACTATCTTCACCTTTATCTGTGTGGGAACTACATGACATAATGTTATCAAAGCTATCACCAAATGATCTTTCCCCTTTCTGTAAATTTAACACTGGGCTAAAATGTGTTGATAAATTTGAATTATTACAAAAAGGTACTTCAAAGCTTTTCATTTCAGATACAGAGGGCTGTGGTAGGATAACATTAATTCTAGTTTCGCTGCTTTTGCACTCACTTTCTTTATCGTTTACTGCTTTATTAAAAAAAGCATCTTTATACCTAGCTATTCTCTCTTCTATGCTAATAGGCAAAAGACTCTCCAGTTTACTAGCAACTCCTGATAATAATGATGACTCCTGACAAGAAATATCTGAATTATTATCACAAGATTCAGTGAAAGTAAAATTTCCATCATCTTCACTTAAAGGAGAATCAATATTTCTTAAGTTTTTATCTAAACCGTGTGTATCTAAATCATAGGAAAACTTAGATGCTATTACATCTTGAGATGTGCTATTGCTTTCAAGCAAAGCATAGAGTTCATCCATTTCATGGGATATCTCGGATTCTGTCGGTGTACGATCAGAATCATCATAACTTGGGATGCTTATGCTTGCAGATATTGTTGTTTCTGAACCTGATTCAGAAGGCGTTTTACTTTTTGAACGTTCTTGCTTTTCATCATTAGGAGGTGGACTATCAGAATCTGAACAATCATGACTTACATCACTGTCTACATTTAGTACAGGTGAAGGATTTGAACTTAACCTCCTAAGCAATGGAGAGTTGTTATGACTAGCACTGACTGTCTGCATGAGAGAAACAATCTGATCAGTTATGTACTGCTTAGCAGAATGATCTTCAGAATTTGAACATAATTCATTAGACATAGCTGAACATTCAGAAGCATCAGCAATTTTCTTCAAAGATGCCATCAGCTGTTTACAAATGTACAGCGTTTCTTCAGAAATTGCAGAATCTGATATCTGAGGGATTTCAGATGACTGTGTAGTGTCAGAAGTTGCTTCATTAAGTGCAGATGTTGGAACAGAATCAGTCTGGGAAGAAAGATCTAGCACATCTCTATTTTCAGACACAAGCTCAGAATTTATTTCTTCATCAGATGTTGATTCTTCAGCAGATTCTAAAGTATCACTGCCATAATCACTATTATTACTACCAAGAGTACTGCTGCAACTGCTGCTAGGTTCTCCAGCTGACAATGAAGCTGGAGATACAGTCAGCATCAGACGTGCAATTTCGGATTCCAAAATCTTTAACATAGGTGATATATCTTTCATTTCTGATATAACTTCAGTCTTGACATCAGTGTTACTGGTTATATGTTGCATTAAATGGCTCATTATATATTTTGCTTCGTCATCATAATCAATACTTTTACTTTGTTTGGCTTCAGAATAAGATATCTCTTCTTTGAAATATACATTCTGGGATAAATCATTTACACTATACTTTTTTCCTAACATTTCAGTACTAATTTCTGGATTAGAATTACAAGTGCTTAAAGTATTACAGCTAGGCAAACTCGGTGACTTTACATAATCAAGAGAAAACTTTTCTTTTAAAATTGGAATATGTTTTTTCAAATTATGATACTTTTCACCTGACAGCTTTCCATATGCCGACTGATTACTAAACCTACCAAATCCAACAGAACAGATTTCATCGTCACTACTCACTCCACCACTTTCATCAGTTAGATCATCTTCAGGATAAGACATACGCTCTCTATCCAATAGGCCAGATTTAAAATATTTTTCTAAACGTGAAGTTGCTAATACCGCATAGACTGGAGAACCTTTACTAGTTTTGTAATCTGTGTTAGAATTTAAAACTGAATTTTCAACTAGATTTTTTCTATGCATTTTACGTGGATTTCTGGAAGATGACACTCGAATTTTATCACTGTATTCAGAATCTCCGCTTTTTCTACACAAAGGAACTGTACCTCTAGAGCTTTTCTCACTTTCTTCACAACTTTCTTCCATAATTGTATGAAGTCTGTATGATAAAGGATGACTGTAATATCTGAAACCAGCAGATGGTGCAATATAGGTGGCTTCATCAGATGATGTTGATGTATCACTAAGTATGACTTCTTCACCATCACTTCCATTATCACTAGATTCTGAAGAACACACAGTTTCATTGAATGATGGCTTATAGGAACTCGACAAATGCATATCCGCAGAAATTTCCTTACATTCATTAGATTCAATTTTATTTTTCTTTTCCATAAAAGATAATGATAAAACAGGATAGAAACCACACAAATTTGGCTTTCTCAAATCCTTAAAATGCTTTTCAAGAGAAATATGGCCCAATGAATCAGAATACAATGGTAATTCTGGAATATCATTTCGATGTTCAGCATCTTCACAATGCTGCTTCTCAGTCTTATTATCACATAAATGATCTTTGGAATGCAAACATATATCTGTAGAATGACAGATTATATTACTAGGATTATTTGCATATACATGAGAATTACCATGTTCAAAATAGGTTTCTTTCATATCACCTCCAAATAATTCTTCATTAGCATGAAGAATTTTTTCTTTAATTGCAACACTACGAATTCTCTTATATGCTTCACCTTCTATCACAGTATCTTGAGAATCAGTATCAGATTCCAGTTTATCTAACTCATCACCACTGGATATCACCTCTCCATCATCAGCTAGAGTTCTCTCTACTGTAGCATCAACTACAGAAGGAGAGGAAGGCACATCACATGGCTTATTACATTGACAATCAACCCTCTCATTTATATCAATGCTATGAAAAGCTTTAGGCACATGTATAGGAAGCTCATATTTATCAAATGAAGAAGAAACACTAATAAATTCAAAACAAAATATATTTTTTAGATAAGGCAAAATATATTTATCAAAATAATCACACGAATCTGATCTTTCTCCGACTTCAGTCACACAAGTTTCATCTTCACTAAAATTGTATTTAAGACAAGAATTAAAACTCACATTTTGGTCAACACACATTTCATCAGGCATTTCTTCAGCAGAACACTGACTGAAACCAAAACTACTACCATATTCTGGCAAATTTAAAATTGATTTAAACTCGCTAACAGTTTCACAATAGGTTCCTGGCGATAAACTTTGTAAACACTCATCTGTTATGATATCTGATTTCAGATCTTTTAACCTGGGGGTATCATCTCCATCAGATATAAAATCACAGCATTCCGATAGATTCCGAGCAGATAAAACATTTTCTTGAGACAGCATAACTTCGTTACTTTTCGCGGGATAAAATGTTTTATCATTATCTGTATTATACAACGAAGAAACGCCTGTATAATCCAATTTCGACGCGATCATACGTGTCTTTTCTTTTGCATACAGAATTCGCTGCAATAATAAACACTGATCTGATATGGTCAAAGTAAGCAGATAATCAGCTTCCGGTTCAGAAGTAACAGGTGGGCCATAATAAAAAAAGGCGTTGACTAAGTTCGCTACAGCACCAAGTTTGGCGGAGCTTAACGCTCCGGTGCCGGCGGCCCACCCCAGGTACAAAGTGAGACCGGCCGAATCAAGTACCTCACGTCCACACACCGATGCCCTGAGATTAAGGTCTATGACTCTCTGCGTCGCCGCGGCAATACAACACCGCGCTTTCCCCCAACCTGTTGCAGACTTGTCATTACCACGGTTGGTTGGATCGCAGCATGGGGGGAAAGAAACATAATGAAAAGCGTTGGCGTCACCTAGATGCAGCAAGTTCCCCACCTTACCATAACAATCGCGTAACCAGCTAGGGTTACAAAACTCTGCAGGATGAAGAAAGTAAATACTAGTTGGTCCACATCTCGGTGTTTTTATATTACAGTTTCTAGAAAGAGTGAATGGCAGCTTCGATAACAGAAAAAGTAAACTGGCTTCAGAAAAACGCATTCTGAAGAAGTCATAGTAAAGTTTTATTAAGTATTGTCTCATATGTTTATATAACCACCTTGATTCTTTTCTGTCATTAAACCACATTAAATTACACACTCCTTCTTCTAGTGGTTTCTTATTCGTGTAATATTCAGAAGGCTGAATGTAACTAATATGAAATAAATCCAGTTCATCACAGTTTAAATTCAGATTTAATCTTTCTGAAATACAGCTAAAACACATCCTTTCATTCCCCGTGTAAAAGGAGTATAAAGAAAACAACAATATTAAACTACAGAAGTGTGCATTACTGGGATTTCCTGCAAGTATTTTATTCCATTTATCTTTTAATAAACAATGTAAAAAATTAAAGTGTGATAATCGTTGAGCTAATGCAGAGATATTAACATAACAAGGGTATGATGTGCAAAATCTGAATACATCTACATACTTTTCTTGCAAACAAATAACTTTACAAAACATGTTTAATGTGCGAAAAAGAAAATTTAGCATGGAAATTTCTCGACTACAGTAAAAATTCGATGAAGCATACAACAAACTAATTTGTTCAGCAATACAAAAACTGTGATAATTCATTTCAGATATATGAAATTCAGAAAAGCTATTTGGATAAAATATATCAGTGTACGATTTATGCCTCTCGACATCTAGTGTAGAAACTAACAAAAAAAAATTCGGAAGTCCCAGTGCACACAAAGCTGAAGAAGAACCACAGCTGTTATTTGAACTGAAAAGAGTTGGTTTAATAATTACTTCGTCATACGTCGCTTCAGTAACTTTAGCTTCTACAGATACTGAATCTCTTAATTTTAGTTCCACTGGGTTTGAATTTTGTTTTTGCAAAAGAAACTGCAGAACAGCAAAATTTGAGAAATGTTTAAATTCTAAAAGATTGGTTAGTTTTATGTCCGCCATTATGAAAACTGATGCTTTAATACTACCTTTCTGTTCTTTTGATCTTAAAATATCTGAAGAACAGTGAATAGTAATTTCATGCTCCATATTTTTTTGAAGATATAAATTGGGTTGAATGATAAAATTATCAGCTTCATTAACGTGAACTATACTTTTATCAAAATTTGAAACAAACAACTCTGAATCTTCACTTTCATCAGATTCTAATTCCCAGTCCGAATCTTCTACATACGAAGTTCCATAGTTAATTTTAATATGTGAATGAACTTTTAAACGAGCTTTGGTATGAACTTCAGAAGTGTGAGGATAGTTGCGATGGTAAAATGAGACACCGTCTGAATCACATTCTGATAAACAAGAATCCGATTCCGAAGATAATGATGTTGAACTAACGTAAACCAACTTGTAATCATCAGGAAGCATATTTGCAATTTGTCTATAATCTCGTGATCTGCACGGCTGTTCTTCAAGGTACCACAGCCAATCTTCCAATGAGTGACATTTCCACATCCAGGGTTGAAGCCAGTCATGAGAGACTGATTTGCAGTTCGGTAATGATGCACTGCGAATTAGTACATCTGGACAGTCATCGTAAAAATGAGGATCAAACTTACACAAAGAGAAAGTTGTTAGATTTTTATCCGGACTTGAAATATTACTTTGCTTATGAGTACTGTTGTCTACACGTGAAATTTTATGGCAACTTAATTCATTCTCTGAAACTGCTATGGATTCTCGTTTCGCAGGTATTTGTACAATATCTGCAATCCTTAATGGATTTTCTGGAGAACAACTCCTTTTAGCAAGAGAAAACTGTGAATCACACTTCTTCTTTGGAAACTTTCTGGATTCGTTGTGCATATCATACCTGTTGAAAACTTTGCAACGTCTCTTCCTTGAATTCCGAGACAGTGCTTTTTCAACTCTCACTGGTTTCTCCGTTTTCTTGTCACCATCACATAGGGCCTCAGTGTTAATATGCAAAGCATCCGAAGAACATGCTGTGGCAAAAGTCTGAAAGCCAGAAAGTGTTAGGAAGCGTTTTTTTTCTTTATGTTTTACGCTTAGACCTTCACCTATTTTAGAAGTATGAATTTTATTACTGCTAAGAAATTTATTATTACTAATTAGTTTACGTTTAGTATTAGTTCTATTAAAAACGTTAAGAGAGAGATTATTATACAAAAAAGAACAGGTGAGGCCCGTCGATGGTACAGCTGCATTCAAATCTAATAGGGGGGAAAAATGTTTTAAACAGGGATAATTTCAAAACAGAAAACATTGCATTATTAAAAAAGCTTATTCTCAACTTAATTTAATATTTAAAGTAATACAAAATTTTAAAACAAATATCTACGGTAAGCAAAATTTAAACTATGTAATAATTTATTTTGTAGCAAAAGATAAAAATACAGTACTAAAACATTAGCTACTGAAACAAAATAAGGAATTAATTCAATTTTTAGAAAAAAAATTGCGTGACAAGGAGTTATTGACTGAATAGTTACTCCTTTATTAAACATTCTAACTGTTGAAAACAGGAAATAAATGCGATATTCGTGACCGTGACAAAACAGAAGCAGAAGGCGAATGTGCCCATGTCGTTATAACAGTGAAAAGAAAGTTCTTAAAGTTATAAATAATAAACAAGTTATTAAACAAAAAGTGAACTTGTGACGTTTAAATTATACTGGCGTAGTGGCTATCTATACTTCTTTGCCGAACACTATCCGAAACATATCCTCAAAACATACTCGAAAAGCCAAATATTATCCTTAATTTACGAAGGTCTTTGCAAACGTTCGGAGCTTTTCTATGATACTTTTCTCAAATGATGATTTGGTTTGTTTGATTAAATAAACCGCCTTTTAAATATCCACCATTCAAATAACTCTACGGGTACATTAGAATCATAAAAGCAGAACATGATCTTTTTCGCTACAGAACAACAAGCATCAAACAATTTTCTCTAGAAAGATAAATGTTTTACCGTCATTCTAATAGAATACCCAGACATTTTATAGATTGCCTGACGGTTTGGGGCAAAATAGGAAATATGATAATTATTATATACTTTACCTAGGCATTGTATATGATACTTACGCATTGTATAGAATGACAAGCACTCTATAGGCAAAGTATGAAAAAAGGTCATGATAAAGCTAATATTTAAAAGATGTTCCTTTCTCAAAAATATAACGCTTATTTTGAAAAAATAATGAAAGATTGCCTTTAAAAACCTTTATTCAAAATACGTTAAATAACTAGTGAGATGATCTTGACACCCCGTAATAAATTTATATTATCTATCTGGCTGAGACTGGAAATCAATGAGATCTACCGGAGAACAGGAATTAAATTCAGAAAAAAATCAGAAGTTTTACAACAATGAACAATGCCCTTTTTAATACCATTTCGTTTTATTCTGGTAGGGTTCATGAAGGTGGATGTAAAGTTCAATACCATTAAGCGTAACGTTCTTGAATTTGGTTGAAAGTTCTGTCAACATTCTGTCACGTCCTCCGTGTCTAAGCCAAATAAATGAGTTTCATAAAATACGTTAAATAACTTACTCTCCGTGACGTAAATTGTATTTTTAAATGCAAGGTACTAATTTGTAGGCCTTAATGCATCATAATCGATTTTTAATTAGAAAAACTACTCAAAATTAATAACAGCAATTGTGAGGAAATTCGCAGTAATATAACAATATCTGGAACTGCATTCTGGAAATTAAAATAAACTGCAAAATTTCAAGAGGACTAATTTCCACTTATCTGTTTCGCCTTAATTAGCAATTACAGAAGAAGGGTAAAAATTCCAAATTATTATACTTTCAACAAGGAATGATTAATTTTTCCTAATTAATGTCATCGGGATTGTACTTTAGTATGCATTCGCATTTTCCATTCCGGAGTTAAACAATTGAATAATGAAGGCATCGCAAGGATATGACCTGTTGAAATCACGCTGTGATCTTTTTAAACACTATGTCTAGCGTAAAAACCATCTTTTTATACCGACGATTCATAATTAATACCGTATAATTATGTCCGTATGCCTGCTGTAAAAAATGCAGGGTCCAAAAACGTGTCCAGGGCGGATTGCCCCCACTAGCAGCGCCACTGATCTAATATCAAAAATTATCTTCCTGTATTCGTTCACGAAATTTTAAAAGCAGAAAAAAAAAAAAAAAAAAGGAGAGAAGCTGCTAAGCATACTGAATAGCACCCACCGTGAACACGGAATTTCCTGAATTGCACAAACCTTGCATTCCATTTCTAACATTCCGTGATTTCATTCTGACAGGATACCTGAAAGAACGGATTACGAAAATCATCCGCGAATTATTGTTCAAAAAGCCTCCTCAATTGTCAAAATATTCCTGTAATTCGCCTACCAGTGGCCGAGTAGTTAAGACAGTTGAATGCTGGTAGGTCAACTCGAGTTCGAATCCAGGATAACGGGATGGCTGTATAGTTGATTTTCGTGGTTTTCTCCACGTGTAATATGAATACCAGCACCTTTCCTTAGAAGGTCCTCCACAAAGACATCTCCTCACTTAGGCAGGTAGCTCCCTTGAGTGCTTTGTCATATTCAAATAACCAAACCTAATCTAACCATTCCTGCAATCTCTCTTTCAAGTAACCTACTAAAATAAAATCGCGAGGTACAAAGATCTAAGTTGTCATAGTCTTTTATGGCCTTTTATCACCTGAAAATTAGAAGCCATCCACTGAGCATTAAAAGTTAGTTTTTACACATTATACAGAGAATTCATTTTTAAAGTAAGAATTGCCTGACCTTATGCTACAAAAGTGACCGGTGATGGAATAAATGAAATTAAACAGAAAGGTGTTTAATTTAAAAACTAAATTTATTGCAATTGCTTCCGCAATTACAAAGCTCCTCCGTATAACGCATAATTCCTAAAATACGGTCTCGTTTTAACAAGTATTGGGAACTGGTGCAGGGCAGACCAGTCGCTGAGCGGTAAAGTCGTTGGAACACTGGTAGTGCGTCCAGGACTCGAATCCAGTCGAATGGAGTGGCTACAAGAGCGTTTTTGTGGTTTTTTCCATCTGCAAAGTGACTATAAGACAGTTTCTCTTAGAAAGTTTCCCACGGAAGTATCCTTCTCCTCAGGCAGATAGCCAATCATTTTGCCATGATAAAATAAACCAAAGCAAATTCAGAATTAATGAAAGGCCCATTTAATATGGGATTCCTTCAGTATAACAAGGGTTAAACTACTAAACATATTTCATGATTATTTAAATTACGGCAAAGCACGCGAGGGCTACGAGCCTAAGAGAAGGGATGTTTTTACGGAGGACTTTTTTTAGGGAAAATGACTCGTATCCGTATTACATATAAGGAAAAGCACAAAATTCCCATGCAGCCAGCCCATTCGCAGGCATTTGAAGTAGGGTCGGACTACTACTGTTCAACAGTTTTACCGCTTTTCCACAATTTGATCTAAAACATGTTTTAAATAAGAAGACTTATGTTATTTTCTATCATTTTTTGCACTTTTCCTCCCCCTATTTCTTGGGAAAAAATATGGAAATTAAAGCTTTACTATTTATTGAATAATGCACCAAACGATTCAAAATATTTTATTTACATAAATATCGATATAATAATCTTACAACTGAATATAGCTTCGTTCATTCAGAAATTAGATAAAGAAGTTATGGTTGTTTTAAAAACTCCTTGCACCAGGCAACACGGTTATGATAAAGGTTTTGGAAATTACTGATAGTGAACATAATGAATATATTGAAGGCATCAGCAATGCGTTCAAATCATCAAATCATTCAGTTATGAAAAAGCGCACTAAATCTATGTGCCTATGAGGAGAAAGCCTTATTGTACGCTATGGAGTATCTTATATGTGTATATGTACTACCCTATATACTATAAACTGCGGAGAAAATAGACTACCATCAAATGAATATCAGTCTTACATAAAATTATTTAAAATGAAGAATACACTTTACTAACGAAAGAAAAAAAGCAAAAATCGGTTGTTCAGTAAAAAATTAAGATTTAAGAAAGACACTCACAAGTCGTGAATTATGTTTGGTTAATCTTTGGATTATGGTAACTTGGCGATTTTTTGGCGACCAACCCTGCTACAGCAACCTGCTAGTTTTTGTTTGGACGCCATTTTATTTTCACGAAGTAAAGACACGTGTTTGTTTTTTTTTTTTTTTTTTTTTTTCCCCTTCCCAACAATCTGCTAGCCGAATTACGCTTATGCTAGAACTTTTATGGAACAAAAGTGCTTAATCATGACGAAGATTAGGTGCGAAATTGGAAGAAAGTGCAGAATCGCAAACTGCTTGCCGCGTTCTTAAGAATTGCGGTAACCATGTACACGTCGACCTATTTTCACTTAAAAAACATACCAAAACTGCACAAAAATGGCATTGCGCACGCTCTTGGCTTTATCCATGTACACTGCTAAAGTCCTAGCTAGTAACCTTTATCGCCTTACCAAAATGTCGCCAAACAACCTGTTACCATATTCCAAAGATTAGACTTATGTTTATTATTCCAATGAAAAGCATGCAGGCAAGTATCATTTTCTGTTGCACTTCTCTTTAGTCTGCATGAAAATGGACAAAGCTTCAAGTCATTATTAAACATTAAATCAAATGAAAATCACAATATATAAAACCTGCCAGTTAGCTAATGATGAAATAGAAGCAATTCATTACGAATATTGAAAAGCCAGAAAGGGAAAAAGACATTCATGATAAATAAAAAATAAGGTACATTCCTACAAACTAACAGATCACTGACATTGATTCTTTATAGAAGTATAAACCAAATAACAAAGTTGAATAAAAATCTGGACTCATAAAATTAGCAATCTCTTTATTACTAATGCTGCATAAAAATTAAAAAAAAAATAAATAAATAAAAATAAAAATATTACTTCCCTTAGTACTTAATGTAAAGGAGAGGTTCGAATCCAGCGAACGGGCTGGCTGCATGGGCGTTTTCGTGGTTTTCCCCATGTGTAACGTGTATACGAGCCAGTTTCCCTTAGAAAGTCCTCCACGAAGGCATCCCTCCCTTTAGGCAGATAGCCCTCGTGTGCTTTGCCATAATTGAATAATACCAATAATGTAAAGGAACTCAGCATATTATGACATGAAGAAGGGGAAAAGCTTTGATTTTTCATCAGTTAACTCAAAAGTATGGATTACA